TATATATATATATATATATATACATTTGTTAAAAGATTCATAAACTCTCGCGATTACTTCGTCCTTGTTCTTTGTCTTTTCCAATCGACTCTTCCAATCTCTCTCCTTGAAAGCTTTTTATCTTTCCAGCGTCCAGTATGGGATATGCGTTTTTGCGCATGGAAAATAGATGGAAATAAACGCACATTCTCAAACGATCTCTCGAACACAAATTCGAAAAAAAAAAAAAAAGCGTCTCTCTTACCGGTAAACGCTCACGAGTTGCCTCTCGTGGACGACGTCCCGCGTCCCTGCTCAGCAATTTTTCCAACTGCGCAATAATCACAGTATCCAGGGCAGAGCGGTGGTGGGGACGACGACGGTGACGACGCGGTGGGATAAGTGCGGTGGGGCACCCCGGGGACCTGTTAGCGCAATGCTACCTCGCCTCAAGTTCCTCTTCTCTCGCGGTCCTCCCAGTGCGCGTTCCCCGCAAATTCGACCACATCCGGTGACCGTTAGCCACCTTAGCTCAGTATCCTTCTTCCTCTTACTTCCGCCTTCACCTCACGCGGCCTACTCTCTGATGCGGAAATGCGGTACGTTCCACTCGCTCCCCGGCACGACAATAACGACTTTACGACTCCTCTCTATTCAAAATGGCGGACCTCGGGCCGTTGTTTATTTGTCTTCTCGCGGCTCCTTTACGGCACTGCCAGATCAAATTGGATTACCCTGGCTGAGTTTGTCTCGCCGTTGCGTTTCCCGCACGTCTCCACGCCAAAACTCTCAGGAACTCGAATCCTCTCGCCGCGGGCGAGGCCCGTCTGAGGGACGTGTATGTATGTACAACGCGCCGCTACGTATCTCGGGACGCACCGTATCCCGTATGATTGCGCTCCGCGTATGCTTGAGCTCCGTTCTCGATACTCTTCTTCCTTCTTTGTCGTGCTCGTTGCGTTAGTTTCCTTTTCCGCTTTCCCGTTCCAGCTTGATTCAATCTGATTCAATCACACAAATAACAATCACTCCGCAGTCGGAAATCAGGCTCGCGTTCTCTCCCGCATCTCTACGAGTTCTACGACACTCCTCAAACACTGATTGGAGAATTCCGCTTGCGTCTTTATAACCTATCGCGAGGAGAGCTACTATCCCCTCCACAAGTCAACCGCGCGTTCGACCAATCCGCGCGCGCGTCACTTTCCTCCATTCCGTGTCTGCGGCGCCTGCGCCGATCTAAAGGCCACGGCACATAAAAAAACTTATGGCCGCAGCACAGACTCTTGCATAACGCATAATGCATAGTGCATAAGAGAATCGACCAATCGAAATTCTTCTTTTTCATGGAATGGAAGGAAAGGAAAGATTCTGATTAGTTGATTTGCTTATGCATTATGCGTTATGCGTTATGCAAGAGTCTGTGCTGCGGCCTTTAAGCTTACCCCGGATCTACAATAAGCCTTATGCCTAATTCATACTGACGCTGCGTCCAGTGTGAATTAGCTGGATTCTACACTAGGCATTATGCTGGATTCACCCTGCATCCGATTTTCGTCGTACGACACTCTGCAACCAATCAGAAAACAGGATTCCGATGAATTTTGCTTCGTATTATCGGAATCCTGTTTTCTGATTGGATGCAGTG